GTTAGGCCAAGCTGAAGCCAGGAGGCCAGGACTCAGTCCATGTCTCCCACATGGGTGTCAGGAGCTCAACTACTTGAGCCCTCGCCTACCCTACCGATTCCCAGGGTGCACAGTAGCAGGAGGCAGTTAGCCCAGCCGGGAGCTTGGACCCAGGCCCTCCAATAATGGGATGTTGATGTCCCAGGAGACGGCACAACCATTGCGCCAAATGCTCACATGGGGACCAGTGCTGTGGCGAAGTGCATTACGCTGCCATGTCTGAAGCCGCCATCCCACACGGGCGCCAGTTTGAGTCCCGGCTGCTCCACTTCTGATCCAGCTCCCTGCTAAGGCACCTGGGAAAAGCAGCAGAAGACGGCCTAAGTGCTTGGGGCCCTGCACCCACATGGGAGACCCTGATGGAGCTCCTGGCTCCTGGCTTCATCCTGGCCCAGCCCTGGCTGCTGCAGCCATTTGGGAAGTGAACCAGCAGATAGATATCACACACTATGATATTCCCAGTGCCGTGCCGAACGCTAACCAGATACCAAGTACCCATCAGTGCCTCCCCCTGCACACCCAGCCCTACCTGCGAGTGCGCCCAGCTGAGCCAACTTCCTAGGGCTGCAGTCCTGCCACTGGGGACATCGGGCACCTCTGAGCCTGGGCCTGGCACCCCCGGGTGCCACATCCCGGGATCTGCAGCTGTGACGGGGAGCTGGGTGTGCACAGGAGATGCACCCCCAGGGTCAGGTATCACCTTGGCCTTCTTGCTGGGTGACCTTGGGCAAGTCACTCTACCTCTCTGGCTCACTTTCTGCTGTCTGGGGAAGATGCCGACCACGGACGTGGGAACGGAACGTGGACAGCAGTTTCACTACCATTGGATTCCAGCTCCTACAGGAGCTATAGCTCCGTACCCCTTTGAGGTATAAGGATCTGTCTCAGTGCATGACACGGAGCCGTTGTCCTTAATTGCCTGTGACTTGCCATGCGCTGGGTCCTGGGGCCTCCAGGCTGGCCTTGACCACAGTCAAGTGAAACCGAAAGCATGATTGGCAGCCGTTAGCAGTGACCGAGCACCTGCTGCAGCTTGTGGGTGTCTGCCCATTTCACAGCAATGAAAACTGAGGCTCACGGAGTTTCTGGGGCCCCACAGGATGAGGACAGCGCAGAGGACATCCAAAAGCCCTGCCCAGACTTTCTGCTCTGTCTCTTCTAAGCCACTCTCTCACTCGTTCAACAAATGCACCAAATTTATTGAGCACCAAACATGTGCCAGGCACTATTCTAGAAACTGGGCCATAGAAGTGATTGGAACGGTCGAGAATTCTGGCCTCACAGAGGCCATGATCTGGACCTGGGGTGGGGGAAGGGTAGTGATCTATGCTGTGATTTAAATAGGCTCATTGGAAAAATGACTCCAAGCAACGTGTGGACCACACAGTGGGAAAATGCTTTTGAGGCAGAGGGAGCAGCCATGCAAAGGCCCTGTGGTGGGAATTGCTTGGACAGGTGCAACCAGGAGGCCTGTATACCTGACACGGAGGACGGAAGGGGAGAGTCCCTAGGGCAGGTTACTGTAGAGACCTGGGCATTTATTCCCCGAGACAGTGAAGGCATTGCTGGACTGCCTGCCGTGCTGGGGCTGGACATGGAGGAGTGAGGAGTGATGCTTCATGGGGACACTCAGATCTTGCTTGGGTAGATGGAAAACTGTTGCAAGCCATCTCGGGCTTTTGGCCGTGGCCTGCCTTCTGCCAGTCTCGCTGAGCCCTCGGGGAGCTCTGAGAATTTGTGCCACACACTCGGAGTGTCGTAGGCCTCCTCACGGGCTCGAGACAACAGCTGATGCAGCAGGTGTGCGGCTCCAGGCCTGGAAGGGAATGTGGCGATAAGAATACTCGCTTAAATTAAGGCTCAACAAAGCCTGTTGGTTAGATTGGCTCCTGGCCCCGGGTCAGTGGGGCTGGCCTGGAGCCTTTAAGGGGCACTGGAGCCCCAGAGGGAGCTCCCTCACGTTTGCCCTTGGGAAAGCTCGGGCCCTCTGGGGCAGGCTGGAAGCTCCCGGGGGCTGAGGACAGCCCAGACTCACAGCCAGGATTCCCCTGGAGCCACAGAGCTGAGGGTGGTTCCTGGGACGCAGCCATGACCGTGGCCGGCTGCAGCCTCACATCAGACCTATTCATAACTCCTTAGTGGTGTAGTCAGTGAGTCACACCAATGCCTGGCTGAGGGGACGGGCAGGGAGGGGCATTTTTTATCCGCTCCTTGCCCCCAGTTCTTCTCCCTGGAGAACTGACCCCAGGCCATTGTCCAGCGCTGGTGCCTTCGCAAGCTACAGCACCCATGCAGTGGGACGCTGTGTCTTTAAGACAAAGACTTGGCTGTTGGCACCTGGACGGGTTTCTGGGATCTCCCCTTGGGCACGGGACCCCCATCAGAGGAGCGTCCCTTCTTGGGTTTTGGGATCTTAGATTGTCCTCCTTGCGACTCATCAGTGGGGATGTGGGGTCTCCCACATGGGTACAGGGGGCCCCCTAAGAGGAGCTCCTTCCAATGTGACCGAAAATGGGTCATAAACAACCTTGTATGCTCCTGGTGGCAGCAAGGCGATGGAAAATGGTGCAACTGCTTTGGAAAAAACATTTGGCAGTTTGCTTAAAAATCAAACATAGGGTGAGGCTTCTGGGCAGTGGTTAAAGTATTGGCTGGGACGCCTGCATCCCATATCAGAGGGCCTGGGTTCAAGTCCTGGCCCCACTCTCCATTGTGCTTCCTGCTAATGCGCACCCTGGGAGACAGCAGATGAGGGATCGGGTTCTTGGACTTCTGCAACCAACCTTCATGTGAGACCTGGATTGAGTTCCTGGCTCCTGGCTTTGGCCTGGCCCAGCTCAGGTTATTGTGGGCATTTGGGAAGTCAACCAGCATATGGGATCTCTCTCTGTCTCCAATAAATAAATAAATTAATGCAAAAAGATTTATTTATTTGAAAGGCAGTCACACACACAGACGCATACACACAGAGATCTTCCATCTTCTGGTTCACTTCACTTGGACTGGGCCAAGCCAAAGCCAGGAGCCAGGAATTCCATCCAAGTCTTTAAAAAGATTTATTTATTTGAAGGTCAGAGTTACACACAGAGAGAAGGAGAGGCATAGAGAGAAAGAGGTCTTCCATCTGCTGGTTCACTCCACAACTGGCCACAACGGCCGGAGCTGTGCTGATCCAAAACCAGGAGCCAGGAGCTTCTTCCAGGTCTCGCATGCGGGTGCAGGGGCACAAGGACTTGGGCCATCTTCTGCTTTCCCAGGCCACTGCAGAAAGCTGGATTGGAAGTGGAGTAGCCAGGACTCAAACTGGCGCTCATATGGGATGCCGGCACTGCAGGCGGTGGCTTTACCTGCTGTGCCACAGCGCCAGCCCCTCCAAGTTGTACAGTCACACAGCTCTGTAAACGTAGTCAACATAATTGAATTGTGCACGCACAACAGGTGAGCCGTAGGCCACCCAAATCCCATGCAGCTGTTCATAAACAGCATTTTCTAAACAGCCCTCTCCACGGGTGTGCAACAGGACTCGGGCTGGGTGTGCTGGCGTGTATTTGACGCTGTCTGGGTATGGATGCCCCTGTGTGTTTTTTCAATGGAGCAGCAACATGGTGATGGAACATTCGGGTTCAGGGTTACTTCCTCTAACGTGCTTGCCAGAAGTGGACGGCCAAGGTCAGAGGTTATGAGCACCTGTGAGGGCCTTGATCTGACGAGGAACTTGGTCCCTAGCGTGTCGGGACCAATGGCCCTTGTTTGGAGTCACTGTGGAGCTGGCTGCTCCCTTACAAAACAAACTCACTACTCTGCGGTGTCCGAAGTGAGACTCCTCACCAGGGGGAGACACGTGGACGTCCTCCGGGCTGATGGCATTCAAGCTCTTTGTGTTTTCTTTTAAAAAGCAAAATAAAAGACTTATTGACTTTATTTAGTCATTTGGCAGAGTAGAAGGGGGGTATCTTCCATCCACTGGTTCATTCCCCAAATGGTTGCAATGGCCAGGGCTGGGCCAGGCTGAAGCCAAGAGCCAGAAGCTCTGTTCAGGTCTCCCACGCGGGTGCACAGACCCAAGGACTTGGGCCATCTTCTACTGCTTTCCTAGGTGCATTAGCAAGGAGATGGATTGGAAGTGGAGCAGCCGGGACTCGAACCGGCACCCATATAGGAAGCCTGCACTGCAGGTGGCGGCTTTACCTGCTACTTCACAGCGCTGGCCCTGTTAAGTTTCTTTTTTTAAAAAAAGCAGACTCTCTGACCTCTGTTACCATAGATTAGATTTGTGTGTTCTTGAACTTCTTATCAATAAAATCATTATTTAACAATGTTGGTTGGCTGGTGCCGTGGCTCACTAGGTTAATCCTCTGCCTGTGGAGCCAGCACCCCGGGTTCTAGTCCTGGTCGGGGCACCAGATTCTGTCCTGGTTGCTCCTCTTCCAGTCCAGCTCTCTGCTGTGGCCCGGGAAGGCAGTGGAGGATGGCCCAAGTGCTTGGGCCCTGTACCCGTATGGGAGACCAGGAAGAAGCACCTGGCTCCTGGCTTCAGATCGGCATAGCTCCAACCGTGGTGGCCATTTGGGGGGTGAACTAATGGAAGGAAGACCTTTTTCTCTGTCTCTCTCTCACTGTCTATAACTCTACCTGTCAAAAAAAAAAAAAAAAAGAACTGTGCTGAATATAACTTATACGGGTCTGGTCTCATGAGAACTGCTGAGCTACACTCTTGGGATTGTGTGGTTTTCTGATTGTGGTTTTACCCCAACAGCGAAAGGGCCAAGAGGAAAAGACCTCAGGGCACTGCCCACCCCGCAGTCAGCAGCCCCCTTGTCGACGGCAGGGTCTGCACCTGGCCGCGCCCGCTCCCCGATCTGCTTGTGGTTTCCGGTGGGCATGGAGATGGGGTGGCAGCAGGGTCATGCCTGGGAACTGACCTGTGTCTCTCTTCTCTCCCTGCTGTCTCTGTGTGTCAGTCCCGTGTCCACGCACCTCTGGTGCCACGTGCGCCCGTGCAGCCGTGTTCCGTGCGGGCTGGCAGAGAGCGGCGTCTCGGCTCATCAGCTCTGGCCCCAGCATGGCCATCTCCTCGCGCCTCGCCCTGTGGGAGCAGAAGGAAAGTGCGGGAGCGGGCTCCACCCCACCAGGAAGAGAACTCGCAGCTAGGGTGGCCCTGGGCAGGGAGGGGGGACATCCAGCCCTCCTCATGGCAATGTCCTGTCCCTCCCTCCACCTTCCCCCAGCCAGCTCAGTTGGCCATGGCCTTCCCAATCCAACAGGATGCAAGTGACCATGGCCTTGACGGCCCCCATGGCTGCTGGTCTTTCCCATGTCCCAGCCAATGGCAGGAACGTGTGGGTAGACCAGTTCTCCCATCATCCTCATGGTAGCTTCATAGGCACTGAGATTTTCAATGGAGAGGAGCATGTGGGGGACAGGGGTTGGGTTTCCACGGTCCCTGCCTTCTGTCACCACCAAGAGCTGCAAACTGGTTGTTCTCCCAGTGTCTCCTTTCTCTCCTGGATGAGGCAGGTCTCCATCCCACATGGGGAGGGGAGAGGAGAGGCGCCCCTGGGCAGGTGCCTGCATGGCCAGCCTCGTCCCATGCCCCGGCCTCGTCTGCTGGCCTTGCCTCTCTCCTCTGGATTCCCACATTATCAGTGGGGCTGCAGCAGGGGAGCCTTCGGCAGCCATGCGCAGGGGAGCTTGATAAGGAGGTTATTTTAAACCGTGTGCAGCTCTTCCATATAAAGCCGTTTCTTTCTCACGAGCAGTCACAGGGATGCAGGTTCAGGAAACACACCAGACAGCCACAGTCGGTCCCGCGCCTCAGCCTCCAGGGTCTATGCAGCCAACAAAGGGGTCTCAGCTGCAACTTCCAGCCAGCTCTGAGCTGGCCATGTTCCTGGGGGTAAACACCAGTGTCCAGCATAGCCCGGGTTGCTTGAGTGGGCTGGAGACACAGGGTTGAATCCTAGACGCCCTGGCTGCAATTCCTTCCTTCCACCTCCTGTTCCTGGTACCCAGGAAGCGATCACGTGACTGAGCCGCCACACTGACCAGCAGCCGAGACGGCTTGAGCGTTGGGGGTGCCCCATGTCCATCCGCTTCCGGGAGCTGGAAAAGCTCCGTTCAGATCAGGGCCTTCTAGAAGTGGGTCTCTCTGCGCTGAGGGAGGGAACCAGTGGTCTTGGCGGCCCAACCGCACATCACGAGGGCACTGGACCTGGGCTGAAGCCCCACTGGCTAGTGCCACCCCTTCTACGCCCCCATTCCATCTTCATCCACTGTCCTGGGGCACCCCCTGGAGGTCTGCTGTATCCCACCTGCTTTGTGGTGGTCTTGAAGACCAGGCACGCTGTCCTTCTTGGCCCCCTCCTCTCTCTGTCGCTGGGTCTCTGGAGGGCAGCCTCCCCATCCTGGTCCACTCACCGAGCTTTGTCCTTTGCTCTGTAAAACAGATCCGGGAAGAGGACAAGAGCCCTCCGCCGTCCTCGCCCCCTCCCCTCTTCTCTGTCATCCCTGGGGGCTTCATCAGGCAGCTGGTCCGGGAGACTGAGAAGGAGTCCAAGGAGGCCAGGCGCAGGAAGGAGGCCGCACTGGCCTCTCCGGAGCGCGAGGTGAGTGAGCCGGGTGCTTTTCTACACCTACTGTCTGCCTCGGGAGACGGCTTTTTGGCTTCTGCCATCCCTGCTTGCTTCCGTTGAGCTCCTATGCATCCTGCAAAACCCAGCTCATCAGGCAAGTCTCTAGCAAGCCTCCCCCACCCCATTGCCCTGCTTCCTCTGGGGCTCATGGTCCCCTCTATGCGATGGCCCAGTAGTCATGGGGTCACATGGCTTATTTGGGGATTCCTTGAGAGCCACAGCTATGTCTTCCATGCAACTCCATATCTTGGCTTGCAGCAAGACTCAACAAGTGTCTGGTGCCTGGATGAGAGCTGTTGGCGCGTGGTTGCTGGGGGTCATTTTACTCCCACCCAGATATTGGCTAAGACGTGCGGTTGGTTTGCTTCGATTTAAACAGCGAAGGTATCCAGTTGGTACTCACTGGTGTAGACCCTGTAGCCCCTACTACATAGGCATGATTCCAAGCCCCCAGGTGCCCGCCATCTTCCATGCCCACCAAGCCCCCTCTCCCGAGTCCCTTGGAAATGTCACAATCTGGTAACTGAAGGGCGAATGCCTGGTTTGTAACTGATGCACCTTCTGAGTGGATGCTGTCCCCTGAAAACCTTTATTCTGAGTGGGCCGCTGGGCTAAAACCGTAGTTGAGCTTGAAGCAGCCCACACGTGTCCCTGCTGGAGGCCAGGGCTCCTCTTCCTCTTCCTCCAGCTCCTTGGCTGGGGGACCTGGGCAGGACGAAGAGGCTGGCGTCCCAGGCAGCAGGCTTGGAGCACAGTGCGCCCACAGTGTGTCCCCAAGTTAGATGGAAGAGGCATCTCTGGATGGGCATGTCTCTAGCGCCCCCTGGAGGCAAGATGGATGCTGCAGGGATTGGGCTGAGCCGTCTGGGGATCTTAGCACCTGAGACGGGTCACAAAGAAACATCCCTGTGTGTTGTTCAGCACTAGGACAAGGTTCACTTACCCGTTCAGGGGTTCCAAGGCAGTGGGATTGTACCCACTTATCAAAGGTGGAGACTGAGGCCTGGGGAAGTCAGGTGACCTCCCAAGGTCATGAGGTCAGGGTTGAGGTGGAGGAACCAGCATGACAGGGTCCAGGAGCGAGGTGGCTGATGTCTTGGCCTCTGAGGGTCTGGGTACAACCAGGCTGTAGGCCGTGCTGGCCTCACTGAGAACAAGGCGCTGACCTGGGCAGAGGATAGGGGCGAGCTGTGACTGCCCAGCCTGGATGGAGACTCAGCGCCAAGACGCGGGATGGACGGGGCTCAGACACAACAGGTGGCTGGGCCAGGGTGCCAGGACGAGCCCGGGGCTGGAGCAGGGGAGCCCCAGGGAGGCGGCAAGTCCTGCCGGTCCCTGCCAGCTCTAGCGTCTTGTCCCGACGGTGCTCCCTCCGGGTCCCGGCACGGTCTTGAACTCCACATAACCCTTGCTTGCAGCCACTGGAATCCATCCCCGTGTCACAGGACTGGCAAGTGGGGCTCAGGGACGTGACCTGGTGTCCCCAAAGCCAGGAAAGAGGGCCAGGGAGAGGCTGGAATCCCCCTGGGGCGGAAAGAGACCCCTATGGAATGTCAAGGAGACCTGGGTTGCAGCTCCGGCCCTGCCACTTTGCGTGGTTCAGGCCCAAGCCCGTCCCTTCTCCTGGACTCGGTTTGCCCCTCTGTAAAATGGAGGGGCTGTGAGTTCCCTCTTGGCCCTTGTGATCTAGAGGGGCTGATTCCTCCATGCACACCCAAGGGTGCAGAGAGGACTGGAGAACCTGAAGAGGACAAGTCATGGGTGGAGACAGGGGCAGGGTGGCTGTCTTGCTTGGTCCCTCCCCAGGTTGGTGGGTTAAAAATAAGGCACTGACTCACCTCTCCAAATGGTGTAGACGGGGCTGGGATTTGCCAGGTGCAGCCAATCCCTGTTCCGAGCCCACGTCCAGGCCTGGCCCCGGGAGGTCAGACTGAGCTGGGCCGCTGAGCCAGGGGCCCCCAAGGGCCTGGGGTTCTCAGCTCAGAGCCAGCACGGTAGAGTCTCTGGGCGTGAGGCCAAGGCACTGGGGTTCTTTCTGCCCCCTAGGAGATGCCAGGGAGTCCCCGAGACAAGGACGGGGTCCACTATGCAGCCGCTAAGGGTGCTCGTGTCTCAGGGTCTGCATTCTGGCTCTGGCTCTGGGGCCACGAAAGACTGTGCGTACGCGGAAGCCTGGTGGCAGGGACGGGACCAGTGAGATGGGGCTCAGGGTGGGGATCAGCAGGGACCCCCAGCCCAGAACGGGGGTGAGGGCTTCTCACCGAGAATCTGAATGCCTGATGGTGGCATTGAGGGGTGTTCCTGTCGACTGTGGTGGCCGCCAAAAGCTTTGGCTCAGGTTTAAGATCACTGGCTGTAAACCGAAGGGACCCCAGTTCTGAGGCTGGGGCGATGGCCCCGGGAGACCCTGGGGAAAGAGGAAACTTGGCAGAGTGGACTCATCGTGGTCCCAGGGCTGCTGTGCATGCGGGAGGAGAGTGGGGGCCCCAGTTTCCAGGTAGTGGCGTCTGCAGTCTATGCTGGTGCTGTCCTGGGCGAGATGGACCAGCCTAGGGCCGCTGGTGGCACTGGCGGATGCGTGGGAGTGCCCACAGCTCTCCATCCCCTGGGGCGGAGGCAGAGCTGAGCCTGAGAGGTTGTGAGGCCACGGCCAGGCTGGTGTGGGGAAGGAGGGCTGGAAAAGCATTGGGGAGAGGGACAGTGTGTTCTGTATCCCCCCGTGTCCAGGCCAGGTGGGACACGGAGGAGCCTGGGGCCAGAACCTAGGATCCTCGCTGCCCTGGGCACTGGGCTGTGGGACCAGGGCAGCGGCAGGAGTAGCGGCTCGGGCTTTTCTGAGCTCTGGGATACTGAAAGTCCTTTCCCAATGGATGATGGAAGCTGAGAGGGGACAGGCGCTGTGACCCAGTGTCACCCAGCTGGAAGGCACTGGGGTCCAGCCAGGAGCAGGTCCTCTGATGACACCCTAGAGGTCTTTCCTGGTCCCTTCCTGGCCCCGCAGGGGGAAGGGAGGCAGAAACAATGGCAACAACAGCACCACTGACGACTTCCCGGGTGCTTGGCCGGACTCTGTAGGATTGCGAGCGCTCACACCCACCTGTTCCAATCAATAAAGCTGTCCTCACATTGCAGCAAGGAGGCAGGCTCAGAGAGGGGAAGTGACTTACCCGAGGCCACACAGCCAGGGGCCGCAGGGTCAGGCACAGAACTTGCTGTGGTTGGCCCCGGAATCCACCTTCCTTCTGGCCTTGAACTCCAGGTCAGGGCTCTCTGCCTGGCCTGGCACTTAGGGATGGATGAACGGATGGGTGGGCAAGCAGCTGAGCCTGGTTCTTTCTCCTCTCCTAGACCCCAGAAGCCCCCATCACCCAGCCCAGAAGCAAGTCCGGCAGTGACGGACAGCCTGGAGGCCCACCGCTCTCCCAGGACAGCCCAGCGAGGTCTCCCCAGAGTGCAGATGTCCCAGCCCAGGGCAGCCAGGGGGCCGGCAGCCCTGACCCCGTCCTCATGACCAGCATCAACGGCGAGAAGCCCCAGGAGCCGGGCCCCAGCAGGACCCCTGCAAAAAAGCCCTTTAAGAGGGGCGTGAGGAGGGGCGATGTGCTGCTCATGGTGGCCAAGCTGGACCCGGAAGCCGCCAAGCCACAGGACGCCCCGCCCCCGGCCACAGACCCCGGAGGCGGGAGAAAGGCGGGGAGCCCAGGGACTCCTTGTGGCCCCCAGGCTGACACCAAGGACTTGGCCCCGAAGGCTGAGAAGACCTGGACTGGGGTTCTTGGGGAGCCAGGCCAAGGCACAAAAGGCGAGAAGGGTCAAGGACCCATGGGGAAGGGGGCTGGGGGCCCCCAGACCAAAGGCCCCAAAGTGGGTGAGCTCCAGGGCAAAGAGGGCCAGGGGACCAAGCCCCAAGCCCAAGGTGACAGGGCACGACCAGGAACCACAGAGAAGGAGGGAGGGGACCCCCCGAGCAAGACGGCCAAGGGGACCCTCTCCAAGGATGCTGGGGGCCAGGAGAAAGTCGCGGGGCCTCCCGTCCAGGCGAGAAAGTGGGGAGGGGCCCTGGGCAGAAGGGGCCAGTGGGACGGTGTGCAGAGTAGGAAGGACAAAGCAGGGAAGGTAGAGAAGGCGGCCGGGCCGCAGACAAAAGCAGAGAAGACGGGGGAAGCACAGAGGGCGACGGGGAAAGGCGAGGAGGAGGCTTCACGTGTGGCCCGGCAGGCGGGCGGGCCCCCGCAGGAGCTAGGAAAGGGGGCGCGGCCCCCCAGCACGTCTGGGGAGGCGGGGATGGCAGAGAAGCACTGTGAAGCTGCCAAGGATGGGGTCACCAGGGGGGAGTGGCCAGGGGCAGCCGGGAAAAAGGGCCGGCCCCAGAGCCCAGGGCAGGCGACAGAGGAGCCCCGTGCCAGAGCGGAGGACGGGGCCAAGGCCCTGCAGGTGGAGCCGGAAGCAGCCAGGCAGCCTGGCCTGGAGACCAGTGTCCCAAGGCCCCCAACGCTGAAGGAGACGCAGGAGGGGCCAGCCCTGCAGGAGGCAGGTGGAGGCGGCTGGAGCGGAGACTTGGACCAGGTGATGTGGCTGCAGGCCTGGCAGTGGAGGATGGGAGGGGTGGGGAGCTCTGGGGGTGGGCAGGGAACTGGAGAGGGGGCAGTCAGAGTCGCGAGGTGCCCAGAGCAGCTCTGTTGGTGGCCCCCTGCACCTGTCCCAGGGTGGGATTCTCCACAGAATGAGGAGAGGGTCCCCAGGTGAGCGAGCGGTCCCCTCCCAGGCACCACAGCACACGAGGAGGTTTACTAGAAATGCAGATTCCCCGGCCTCGCCATGGAGGTTCCCATTTGGAAGCCCCCCCGGCTGGGGCCTGGGAATCTGCATTCACACAAGCACATGTCCTTTTAAGAGAGGCTCACGGGGCGGTCAGCGCATGTGGCAGGGGCAGGGCTGGTGTCCACGCTGTCCTCACTGATGTCATCACTGCTCTCAGGCCCCCGGGGACAGGTGGTACGAGGCGGAGAAAGTCTGGCTGGTTCGGAAAGACGGATTCACACTGGGTAATTGGGGGCTGGGCTGGGCTCCCGGTGGGGGTCTCCGTGTGCCCCCTGCTGCCGCTGGGCGCCTTCACCAAGCATTGGCTACTCATGACATGGGGTGGGGGTGGTGCAGAGGGCCGCTGGGACCAGTGTGGGGAGAGCTGATGGTCGTTCCGCCCTGGGCAGCTGGTCCACCAGGTGCTGGACGCACGTGCGAATAAAGCACACATCACTCGGTTCCTGGAGGGAGCTCCACGGAACTCCATGTAGTGCAGCCGGGCAGACTTCCCCTCGGGAGCCCAGGCTCGTCGATCAGCCGTGGCTGACCACTGAATCCCAATAACACTTCCGGGCATGTCGGTGGATTGGTGATGTCTGTCACAGGCATAGGAAGTGAAATCAGCAGCTCCCACATCCCTGCCTGCCTTCCCTGGTGTCCCAGGTCTGGGTTGAGATGGGTCCATGTTCCCACCGCCCCTCTGGGTCCTGCTCCAGGGCTGGCACCATCAGTCACTTTGGGGGTCATGAGTCAGAACCCCGCGTGTGAGCAGACACCAAGGGGAGAGGGCTAGCTGCTCCCTGGCCTGCCCCGAGCCCCCTCGGCGGCTCCCTTGCCTGGCTGAGAACTTCTCTGCTCTGCTCCCCTCCCTTTCTCTTCCCCTCCTCCTGCCCCCACTTCTTTCTCTGGCCTGTCCCCTCACCCCCCACCGCCCAGCCACGGTGCTAAAGCCAGATGAGGGAACAGCTGACCTGCCGGCCGGGAGAGTGAGACTTTGCATTGATGCTGACGGCAGCACCATGGAGGTGGACGAGGAGCAGGTGCATCGGGTGAGTCCCCTGCCCACATGCTCGGTGCCCCGGAGGGGGCTGTAGAAGAGACTTCCACTGAGCTCATGGCTGTGTGGGGGGGATACCCTCAGGGGTCACGCACCCGTGCTGCAGCCCCTCCCTCGTGAGAACACATCAAGAGGCGTGTTTGTCCCATCTTGGCACTGCGGCTATTGTGACAGGGTCAGGAAAGCAACCTCTATTTTGGGCACAAACCTTGCTTTTTGCTTTGCGTTTTCAGCAAGCATTTTTGTAATGCATTATAAATCCTGCCTGCCCCTCCCCCGTCCCCACCCACAGACAACTCATTGAGAGAGTGTCTCTTTTTTTTTTTCTGATCACCTGTCTCACCTACCGTCCTCTCGGCTCCTTTCTTGCCCACCTTGGGGAAGCCCAGGGCCCTGCGCAAGGAAGTCTGACCCCTAGCACAGCTCAAGCTGGTCCCAAACCCCAGGAAATTCCGTGGAGCTGGAAAGGCTAGGAAACCTCTTGGCACAGGTGCCCCGAGGAGCAGCTGCGAGCATGCCTTGCCTCCCCAAGGGTCTGGGTGCCTCGCCCAGGGTCAAGGCGGGCGGCTGTAGGATCCGTGAGAGGAAGGGGGCACCGGCTCTGGCTCCATCCTGGGGTGCGGGGACCCCAGAGTGTCTCAGTGCTGCCCGGGAGACACATCGAAGGGGAAGACAGCGGCCAGCGCTCACCCTCTGCGCAGTGCCCGGCTTCTGTGGGGTCTGCTGAGTCTGTCCTGGGAGCAGCTCCCCTCAAGTGCAGGCAGAGAGGACCCGAGTGAGGACAGGGGTGGCTTGCAGCTGCCCCCAGGGCATGGAGGGGCGACTCTGCTTTACTGTGGGTCCATCCGTCCCCTGCAGGGTCCTTGGGTGCCGGTGTGGCCTGTGGCTCCTGACTCTCAAGGAATGGGGCCCCTGTGTGTGTGTGTGTGTGTGTGTGAGATGGGGTGTGTGACATGATGGGATTTGTGTGTGTGATAGTGTGCATGTGTGTGTATGTGTGTTTGATGGTGTGTGTGTGTGATGGGGTGTGTGTGTGATGGTGGTGTGTGTGTGATGGGGTGTGTGTGTGATGGGGTTTGTGTGTGTGTGATGGTGTGTATGTGTGTGTAATGGGGTGTGTGTAATGGTGTGTATGTGTGTATGATGGGGTGTGTGTATGATGGTGGTGTGTGTGTGATGGGTGTGTGTGTGTGATGGGTGTGTGCTGTATGATGGTGATGTGTGATGGTGTGGGTGTGTGTATGATGGGGTGTGTGTGTGATGTTGGTGTGTGTGTGATGGTGTGTGTGTGTGTGTGATGGGTGTGTGTGTGTGATGGGGTGTGTGCTATATGATGGTGATGTGTGTGTGTATGATGGTGTGTGTGTGATGGTGGTGTGTGTGTGATGGGGTTTGTGTGTGTGTGATGGTGTGTGTGTGTGTGTGATGGGGTGTTATATGAAGCTGATGTGTGTGATGGTGTGTATGTGTATATGTGTGTGATTGTGTGTGTATGATGGTGGTGTCTGTTGGTGTGTATGTGTGTATGATGGTGTGTGTCTGTGATGGTGTGAGTGTGGTGTGCGTGTGTGTGTGTGAGACAGTGGTGTGGGGCAGCAGCCACGCAGGCGCATAGAGACCCTGCGTGTGGTTTGCAGGCCAACCCCCCCGAGCTGGACCAGGCGGAGGACCTGGCGTCTCTGGTGAGCGTGAGCGAGTCGAGTGTGCTGCACACGCTCCTGCAGCGCCACCACGCGCGGCTGCCGCACACCTGCTCGGGGCCCGACCTCATCGTGCTCCAGCCCCAGGGGCCCTCGCCGCCCTCCACAGGCAAGGTGAGGTGGGACCACGGGGGCGGAGGGGGGAGCCCCTGCACCTGAGGGGGTGGGGACCGGCGGTGACCCCTGGGAACCTGTACATCCTCCCCCACTCCCTGTTAGAACGACAAGGGCATCACCTCTAACAACAGAGAAAACACTAACTTCTCCAAACACATTCATAGATGACCTTGACTAATTCCCCCATGCACCTCAAAAAGCAGGCAGGGTGTGATGACAGGTGGCTGGGGCCACAGGGGCCGTGGTGACTGCTGGCCCATTTCACAGGTGAGAGGAGGCTAGGCCAGGGTCAGGGGACTCTGTTTTTGTGTTTTCTTCCTAGAAAGCACAGACAGGACCCCTTTTTTTCAAAAGGCAATCTCTGGGCGCCCCCTGGTGGAAAAGCTTGGAACTACATCCAGGTGTTGGGTGCTGGTGCCCTGAATTCACTACACAAATAACCAGGGATGGGAGGGTCCCCCATAGGCCAGGCTCCGGGGAAGGAAGCAGCAGGCAGAGCAGCCTGCCCTCATGGGGCATCCGAGGGAGAGGGGAGGCAGGCAACAGGGGCTGCCGTGGATACGTGGGCAGGAGAGGCGGGTCAGGGCCCGGGATGGGGTCACGACCTGGCACAGGTCCTGACTGTGTTCTGAGCGCTTGTCGGGGGAGGCCCAGGCCTCCGTGATGCCTGTGCCTCGGAGGACCGGGAAGTGCCTCTGGCCTCCGTTCTCTCACCTGTCGATCGGGGACGCTCAGAGCCCTGGGGGACACAGCCACTGCTCGTCCCCGAGTCACACTGAACCCCTGCAGCCGGAGGCTCCCCTGCTCCAAGACCACTCCGCTCACCCCTCCGGCTGTCCCTGAGCAGCTCCTGGGCAGGCCACAGAAGCCCGGGGTGGCTGGGCCGTGGCCCCCGTGCCCCGTCTCTCCTGCTGGAGCACAGGTTTAGCTTCTCCTGCAGCCCATGGCCTCGGAGCCGACCCTTCTGGCTCCTCAAAACCCCTGGAAGAGAGGTGTTGGCAGCAGGCCCTGGGGCTGTGAGCCAGGTCCACACCAGCCATCCTGGAGCAGGGCATAGGCTTTGGGCAAAGCTGCAGGCTTCAGAACGCTCCCTGAAGGTGGAACTTGGGAGCTGCAGTCGCCCTGAGCACCCTCCTGTGCCTGGGGTACCAGGAGCTGCCCTGGATTGCACCCCCATGCCTCCAGCCCCGTGCTAAGCCAACCGCCAATTCCCCAAATGGCCACCAGGTGGCAGCACAGACCTGCACCAAGGCTGGGACAGGGCTAGGGCAGGGCGAGAGCGGCGGGGAGTGTGCCTGAAGGCGTGGGAGTATTTGTGGGTGTGGCCACGTGGGGTACAGGTGGACATGTAAGTTCTTGAGAGCACACGTGTGTGTATACGTGTGCAAGGGCACACATGCAGAAGTACAAGAGCAAGCGTACTCACATACGCGGGTTGGTGCTCCCAGGGGCTTGGATCTGCAGGGCGCTTCCTTCTCGCCTTTGGGCAGTGGGTCTTGGGGGGCTGGTGGGCAGGGACAGCCTGCACCCCAGAACGCCAGTGCCGGCACAGCGCTCCTGGGGGCTGTGCTGGGAACTGTTCCACCTGGGCCTGCCCTGATGATGGGCGGTGGGCTCCAAGGTGGAGGTGGGGTCACCGCTGGTGCCGTGAGGCCTCGCAGCAGCAGGAAAGCAGCCCAGCTCCAGGCAGGGGTAGGTGCCCGTGGCTGCCACGTAGGGGTTTGCGTCTCTGGTTCTGCGGAAACCCTGGGTCGGGGACAGATGGGGCCCCTGCCAGCCACGCCCACCCCTTTCTCCTCCCCCTCCTCTCCTCCCCTGAGAGGCCGCACTGAGCAGTGGCCTCAAAGGCGATCCTCTGGCCCCCTCGTTCTTGACCCAGGGCAGCCCTGGGCGCAGTGAACGCCCCCTCCCTGGACCACGCCCCATACAGCTGCCTCCCAAGGCCCCTCTGCCCTCCGGCCCTCGCTCTGTGGGAAGAGGCGCCTGCCTCCAAGCCCCGCCTCTGGCAGCCACTGTGTAGTTTATCTTCCTTTCTTGATGAGACATAAGAGACAGAGATCTTCCACCTGCTGGTTCAGCCCGCAAATGGCCACAACGCCTGCCCCAGCTGATCCTCACCCCCGGGCCTGTGCCGCCTCTGCCTAGCGCCGCGGACGGAGCTACCCCGCGCGCGCCCCTAGCGGCCACCTGCGTCTCCCCGGGGCGTGGTGGGGCTGCAGTCTGCAGTGCGGCCCCCAGGGCCACTCTGGGCTGTTCACGTGCTCACGGTTGTCCCTGACCTTAGGCACGGCTGGAGGACCTTTATTGGGGGCGTTTCTAGTATTTGGTGACTTTGTGTGTATTTGAGATAACCAAGGACGTGGAGGGTTTAATTTATGTATTTTTCCCCCAGCATACATTTTTACCTCTCCCGAGTGCCCTGGGGCTGCAGGGGTATGGAACGGGCGCTCCCCTCACTGATAAGAAATGGCAGAGCCCCCTTGCAGGCTGATACCCAGCCTGCCTGCCAGGGCACCGGGAGACTTCCAGGGGCCCCAGAGCTTTGCCAGAGCTTGGACGCCACTGCTCTGAGGTTACAACCGACTTCAAGTGCATTCTAGAAGATGCTCAGTGGTGTCTCCTCTCCTGCTCCTGCTGTTCCCTGTGCCCGCGGCAGACATCACTAATCAATCTTACCCAGTTGCCTCATTTCTGGTGGAGGCAACTGCCCCGTGGTCTGAGCAGTGGGTGACGTGGATCCCACGGGCTCAGGCAGCTCTAGTCCTGGCTTCTCACCTGCTGCAGAGGTGGAGCCCCCGGGAGCCAGGGGCAGCATGGGACCCCCCCAGGCTGGGCTCCCGCCAGCAGAACGCAGATCTGTCTCTGATGAGATCGGGGCACTGGCTGGGAGGACACCTCCCTGGGGGAAGCGATGGGGTGCCAAGGTCCATGCCTGGTGTTTTCCTGCAGGTGCCTGTGCCCAGGGGCCGCTGGGATCGCTCGCCTGCCCACGTGGCCTCCCTGGCCCAGCGGGCATACTGGGCACTGCTGAGCCAACGGAGGGATCAGAGTGTCGTGGCCCTGGGCCGGAGCGGCGCCGGGAAGACCACCTGCTGTGAGCAGGTCCTGGAGCACCTGCTGGCGATGGCAGGCAGCGTGGACGGCAGGGTCTCAGGTACGGCGACCCTTGTCATGGTGCACGGGCTGGGGGGCAGGAAGCGGGGAGTGGGAGGGAAGAGCTGGGCCGCCCTCCTGTGCCTGCTCAGCGAGCATCCAGTGAGTTCCGGGAACGTGCAAACCGAGCCTGCTGTTAGCCAGGGCTGCCCTCCGGGGTCCATCACACCCCTTGTGTGATGGGACCCTGGCTGTGTCTGTCCTGGACCCCAGGGGTCAGTGGTGGGAGGCGTGGGTGGCAGCAGCAGAGCTGTGGGTGACGCCCCGCCCTGTGCCCCACGCCCCTCCCTAGTGGAGAAGATCCGCGCCACCTTCACCATCCTCCGGGCTTTCGGCTGCGCGTCCACCGGCCACGGCCACAGCTCCACCCGCTTCGCCATGGTGATGGCCTTGGACTTCAACGCCACCGGCCGCGTCACGGCCGCTCAGCTGCAGGTGAGGCCCCGAGCCGGGACCCTGGGCTGGGACCTGCGCCTTCGCCCTCAGTCTGGGTGCCCAGGGTGCGGCCTGGCCCCGGCAAGGCAGGCGGTGTGCGCAGCGTGGGGTCGCCGCTCCTAAGCCCTGGCGGTGAAACAGGTGACGGCCTGCATCCCCTCTCCCCGCAGACGGCACTGCTGGAGACGAGCCGGGTGGCACGGCGGCCCGCGGGGGAAGGGAGCTTCCACGTGTTCTCCCAGATGCTGGCTGGGCTGGACCTGGATCTCAGGTGAGCCCCGGGGGCGGGGACGGCGGGGGTTCTGGGCGAAACGGGGCACCTGCTCCCTAGGGGCTCGGCCTTGGAGTGGCCTCTGCCTCCTGCTCTCCCCCGGGGTCCGGAGGCCGGGCGTAGGCGTGGGGTGGGGGGCGGGGCTCAGGAGCGTGGCCTGGGAGCCTCGGCCACGCTGCGCCTCCGTTTCAGGCTCTGTCAAGGGCGCCTCACACGGTGGGGGGGTTTCACACTGGGCTCTTGGTCACCACTGGGGAGGGAGAGGCTGTGGGAAGGGATGGAGCCGCAAGGCCCACAGCCAGGTGGGGAGAGACCCCGCCCCTCAAGTCTTATGGGAGCCCTGGGTGCCCATGACGGTGTTACTGGATGAGGCCAGATGGTGGGGGGAGCAGCGAGCCCTATCGGAGGGCTTCCTGGAGGAGGTGGCTAGGGGAAGGGCGCCCCTGGGCAGGTGGCAGCGCCCCTGGACAAGTGGCAGCCTTTCTCAGTGCCTCTGTTTCCTCCTCTGTGAGGGCCGAAGGGCAGGCAACCCTGGGCTTTCCCCCTGCATGCGATGATAATTTCGGGGTGTGCCTCTATCCCCCCAGTGCTGGTGCTCATGCCTCCCTCTGGCCAGGGCCCCTGGCTAAGGCTGCAGCAGCCACTGCACCCTCGGAGTCGAGACTCCGGGCTCTGAGGGCAGGCAGACTCCGCCCCTCTTCCGTGGGTTCTGGAGAACTCGGTCCCGAGGGGGAGGTCGCACGGTGCTGGGGCCCCGGCCGCTGAGCCAGGCTGCGGGGCTCGGTGCCCTGGCATCTGCACCGGCTGGCTGCGTGCCCTCAGGCTGGTGACACGCCCTCGCCGAGCCTCCCCATGCCCCTCTGTGGGCTGCACGTGACCCCTCCTCCGGGAGGGCCGAAGGGATAGCACGCCCCGAATGGTGCCCGCACGGCGTGGGTGCACTGGTGTGCCCGCTGCTCGGATCTGCCCCATGCCCGTCTGGGGCCCCTGGCAGGGGTGTGCTGGGAAGGGCGCACTCTGCAGTCTCTGGGATTCTGGCTTTGTCTCACGTGGCCTCGATGTCTCCATCTGCAGAATGGGCACCTGGGTGAGACCCCAGGTCCCAGCAGAAGCACTGTGCGGTGGGGGCATCATAGGGTGACCCCCTGAGGGGCTCAGGGTGGCCTCTGGCAGCAGGTGGGGGTCCCACTTTCCAGTCCGGGGGTCTCCCCCGACACCAGGGGACCCGCACGTCTCTGGTTCTCACCCTGAGTCCTCACGGTGGGGCTGCCTCTGCTGTGCCCCTGGGTGGGGCGGGGCCCTGCCTGCTGAGCGGGAGCAGTGGCGCCACCATGGGGTGGGCATGGGAAGGACGGGGCTGGGCAGCCACGAGTCGGGCCTGGGGGAGTTGGGTGGAGGAGCCAGGGCCAGAGCTGCCTTGGCAAGCAGGAAGCCACCTTGCACAAATTTCCGGTGCTCTGACAGAGGGGAGAACACACAGCGTGAGGGTCCTGGCCACTCTGGGAGCTCCCTGGTGGTCTTCCAGGCTCTCTCTTCCCCGGCTCTGCTGCTACCAGGGTGGTCCCTCACTAGAGCTTCCCAAGGGCAACAACTGATTTCTAAAATGTCCTTTCTCCCAGATACTCAGGTGGCAAACTCCTATTCACCCTTCAAAACCCCACCCCAAATCTCTTTTATAGGAATGATGCTGGGTTCTCCTGTGACCATTTTTGGTCACGGCTGTTTCTGGTCTATACAGGTCTCTCCTCCCCACCAGGCTGCCTGTGAGACCCTTGAATCAGGGGCCGTGCCTTGCTCCCCTCTGCCTCCCCAGAACCTGGCATGGGCTTGGCAGCAGGCAGCCGCTTCATAATTTTCCAGTCGGCGGAGGAGCGGGTGAGGGAAAAGAGGCCATTGGCTCTGTGCCAGGTCTGCAGGGCAGGCTGTCAATCAGATGTCATTTAAAGGCGTGGGTGCCCATTCTACAGATGGGGCAAAGTGAGACTTGGAGAAAGGAAACAGGTCGTCGGCCAGGTGGCCGGGCCGGGAATGGACTTGAAGCCCAATGGATCAGGGTCCTTCGGGGGCTGGTGGCAGAGGGAGGGGGGGTCTGAGCTTTTGAGTGAACTGGGGGAGGGGACGCTGAGGGACCTGCATTGGAGACTCCCGGGAGCCAAGGTGAGCCCCCTGGGAGAGGAGGATTGGCAGCGCGGGGTGGGCTGAGTGGTGCACCCAGGGCAGGGAGCAGACGGGTTCCGCTCTCAGGGACCCTGTGTCTGGTACAGGGCGGGGGTGTGGGGTGCAGGCGGAGGCCCAGGGCGTGACTGACAGGGCAGCACAGGACCCCCTGCCGGTAGGGGGTGATAGGCTCAGCCCAACTCCAGGCTCCTGCTCCGTGCTTGCTGGTTGTGAATTCTTGGGCCAGGAGCTCCCCTCTGGGCCCCTCTGTTTTATCCCATCTGTGCCCGCTGGGTGGCGCTGTGGAGAGCAATCTCAGAACCCAGCACAGGCACCGTAGGCCCGGTGTCTGCCTTGGGAGCACCATCGGGCATTTCCAAAAAACTTTGCTGTTTCTCGTTTGCTCTTTGCCTCACTGCCTGTCTCCCTGCCCTCAGCGTCGTCTTTACTTTCATACATACCCTGTCATCACTACGTGGAAAGGTTTAAAGATGTGTGTGGTTGGTAACATAATGCGAACTTCTTGAATATGAAAATTGTCTCTCTGCTCCCAGGACCGAGCTGCACCTGCACCAGTTGGCGGCCAGCAGCTCCTTCGGCCTGGGCGTGTGGGCCAAGGTAAGGAGAAGGGGGCGCTCCTTTGGGGGCCGGGCTGGGAGGGGGAGGGGAGAGGCCCCCGTCCCCCTTGTCTCCTTTGGCACCAGGGCCCTCGCGGGCAGGGGCTGGTCACGTCGGGGAGGTGGGGGCTGTCAGCCCGGGGCTGCTTGAGATGGTGTGCATAAGCCCAGGGCTTGGTGGATCCACCAGCAGGGTACCTGGGGGAACTGTCCGTACCCCGGGGCTGGAGCGTGGGTGGGTGGGGCTGGCCACAGCTCCTGAGGAGCGAGGGAGGACTTGAGAGATGGATGTGAGCTCACGACAGGAAGCAGGCGCCCCACACACTTGACAGTTCATTCCTGCGTTCAGTCTGGCAGTTGGCCTCCGAGCCCGTTTCTCCACCAGTCACCTCCGTCATCACCGCCTGTGCTGGGCCCGTGCTGCGTCCTGGGGCTGTGGTCCTTGCCCTGGACATTAAGATGTGGCAGTGAGTGTGGTCGTGTGGCGTAGGCTCTATCAGAGGTTGCCCGGGGCTGCTGTGGGCACCAGAGGAAGCCACAAGGGCTGCTTGGCTCCTGCCAGGAAGGGTGTTTAGCCAAGGGCACATTTGGCCTGGGTTTTGAAGGATGAGGAGGAGTTCAAGTGGGGGAGGGGTGGGTGATTTCCATTCCAAGACCTCTTTCAAGTGTACCTGTCTGGGGAGCAAGTCGAGGTGGAATCATTGGAGATCCTCACATGAAAAAAAAAAAAAAGGATGGATTTCAACTCATGCCTCACATCATATAAAAAAATGAACAGCAGCAAAAATGGATCAGAGACCTAAGACGCAAAGCTTTCAAGCCATGGAATTTCTAAGAGCAAATGGGAGAAAAAGCTCCATAACCTTGGGTAGGGCCAAGAGACCGCTGCAGCACCGGCACCGTTTGAAAAACGACGTCGGATGAGCGGAGCAGCCGCGGCCCGGGGGACGGGCTTGCAAATCGCACGTCTGATCAGGAGTCTGTAGCTGAATGGACGCGTGACTCTCCAAACTCATGAATAAAACAAGCGGGCAAAGCAGACGGTGGCGGAAGACGGAGCGCGCGCCTCATCAAAGGAGACAGCGGCCGGGAGGACCCAGGAAACGCGGGGACCCCACCGCGCCGGGCTGGGGCGCACGCCGCAGGACTTCTCGGGAACAGCGCCACGCGGCGGCCCCGGGCGCGGTGCCGTCTGCGGTTTCAGGCACCTGATACCCCGCCGTGGATGAGGGCGGGACCGCCAGATCGCACTGAGGATGCGCAGTTTGTGCTTAGTGGATGGTATTGGAGTTGCAACACACACACACACACACACACACACACATGCACACACGTGTACACACTTGCACATACATGCACACATGCGTACACACATGCACACGTACACACACACCCACACACACTGCTCCGTGCGGTCCACAGATCTCTGAGGCAGCAGGTCCGGGGAGTGGCTGGAGAATTTGCCTTTCGCTCACGCGCCCGCTGCTCTGTCCCGGCAGAGCGCGGGGTAGAGTCCGGGGCTGCTGGCTGTCCCCTCCCCGCGGTCCCCTTGCCCCAGGTGGCTCTGGCCGGGGTGGGGCAGGGGGTGGAGCTCCTTGCCAGGCCTTCTTCTCTCGGGCCCTTCCCCCACAGCCTGAGGGCACCCGGATGCCTGAGCTTCACCCTGGAGGCAGAGGAGGAGAAAGGGCCCCGTGCTGCGTGTCTCCGTGGCTCCGTGTCTCCGTGGCTCCGGGACATGCTTGCTTTCCCCGTGCTTCTGCAGAATGTCTGTCCCTCATGGGCCCCGGCAGGGTGTCCATCTCCCAGGAGAAAGCACGGAGCCCCGAAACCTGGTGGAGTTTGGCGGAGGCTGGGGCAGTGGCCCAGGGCAGGGCTGTTCGGCTGCTGTCCCCAACGGGGGACCTGGCCCTTGGGGGCGCCTCCCCGAGGGAGGGTTGTTAGGAGTGTGTCCCAGGGTTGTTGGATGCAGCGGATAAGAGCAATGGTACAGGATGCCTGTTACATTTGCATTTCAGACACAGGTAGAGCCATTTTGTCCCAGGTAGTTCACTGGCAAGCGTGGAAATAAGGAGGCATTTCAAGGCTGCCTGGAGGAGGTGACTGTGAGGTGATCCTGGGATGAGAGGGACATTTCTTTTAAGACCTATTTATTTATTTATTTATTTGAAAGGCAGAGTTACAGAAGCAGAAGCAGAGAGAGAGAGGGAGAGGTCTTCCATCTGCTGATTCACTCCCCAAATGGCTGCAACGGCCAGGGCTGGGCCAGGCTGAAGCCAGGGGCTTCTTGCAGGCCTCCCGTGTGGGTGCTGGGGTGCTTCTGCTGCTTCCCCAGGCCGTTAGCAGGGGGCTGGATCGGAAGTGGGGCAGCTGGAACGCAAAGGCAGTAAAGGCAGTGGCTTTAGCTGCTGCGCCACAGCCCCGCCCCTAGCAGTTGAACAGGTGCGTGGAGGCCGGCGTTCTTGCCGTACCCGACATTGCTCCGGGACGAAGCCGTGTCCTGCAGGAGCACCCCTTGCTTATCTGAGGTTCAGCTTTGCCTGAGTTCCCTGTGCTTGGTCTGGTAGCTCTGCAGCCCAGCCTCCACCTCACTGGACCCTGCTCCCCTCCTCCCAGCCCAGCCCCCCGGCTCCCATCCGTTGTGCACCGGTCACCCCGCAGCCGTCGGCTCTGCCATCCCCTGCAAAGCCACAGCCAACCGCGGAGTCTGGTGTCAGCAGGTGCAAAGGCGAGGGCCGGCACCTGCGCTGGAGGGCTTCATCTCTCCGGGCCTCAGCTCCTCACTTGTAACACGGGGATCCTCAGTGCTCCTCGCCCCCAGAATTACAGAGAGCGCAGTGCCTGGCACTCAGCCAGCATTAGCATCCATTATCAGTATTACTGGTGTTGTCACTGATGGCAGTGTTGGACAGCGGTGCCGGGCGAGGCCTTGGCAGCCCACAGGGAGCACTCTGCTGCCCCCCACAACCCCGCCAGGCACACTGCCTGTTACGCAGTTCCCAGCCCACGGTCTTGGCAGCCCATGCCAAGGTTTTTCTCTTACTGGCTTTATTTCCTGCTCATATATATATATATATATATATATATATATGATTTATTTATTTATTTGAAAGGCAGAGTTACAGAGAGGCAGAGGAAGAGGCAGAGAGAAAGAGAGAGACAGACAGACAGACAAAGAGGTCTTCCATCCGCTCCCCAATTGGCCACAATGGCCAGAGCTGTGTTGATCCAAAGCCAGGAGCCAGGAGCTTTTTCCAGGTCTCCCATGCAGGTGCAGGGGCCCAAGGACTTAGGCCATCTTCCACTGCTTTCCCAAGCCATAACAGAGCTGGATCAGAAGTGGAGCAGCCGGGACTCGAACTGGCGCCTATATTATCCCACTATGCCACAGCACCAGCCCCTCCCACTTATATTTTTAATGAAAACATCCTATTTCAAAAATTAACACATCCTTCCTGTGAAAAGTCTGGGGCACGCACACAACTGAAGCTCAAGGGCATCAGCACACGGAGAAGTTCGCCAGCAGCGATCCCAGCGCCTTCCTCTCCGAGTTTCCCTCTGACCGGTTCCCGGGTTCATGGCACGATGCGCACCATCACAAACCTCCACAGTCATGGGCCGTCGCGACTCCTCTCCTGGTGGAATCTTACCTTTCTATGTTATCCTTGTGTTTGAGAGGCAGAGGGAGAGAGAGATGAAAAGGTTCACCCCCCAAACGCCTGCACCAGCTGGGGCGTGGCCAGGTTGCAGCTGGATCTGGGCCCTCGGTCCAGGTCTCCCAGGAGCTTGGCAAGGACCCAGCAGCATGACATGAGCCATCGCCTGCTGCCTCCCAGCGGGGGTGGGACTCGAACCCAGGCTTTCCGCTGTAGGACATGGGCCTCTTAGCCACTGTGCCAGACGCCTGCCCCCAGGCACGGTCCCCTGAGCAATTTTCCTGGTGTCGTCCCAAGTACTCGGTTCCGGGGAGCAGGCACTAAGTTCCTCTGTGCACCTGTCCTGGGTGTCGGCCCTGGCGCAGCCTCGCAGGCTAAGGCTGTGCCTCCTGTCACTGTCGCTCCTGCCGTTGCCTTGGGAACAGCGTCTCCCTGTGTGTCGCTTCTGTTCTGGCTCCTGAGAGTGGGGCCCAGCGTGTCTTGCTCACTGCGCTGGTAGCCGGCATTGCGGCTGCGAGTGAGGGTGCGCGGCTCTGCAGCACCGGGCTGACCCCCTTCCCTCCTGGCTGCCTGGAGCTGTGCCACGTGGCCCTCCGGGATCTGTTTGCTGGGCTTTGCTCTCCCTGCTGTGCCGTTTCACTCGGGGTACGGGGGTCTCATGTTTTCCTTCAGCCCCAGTGCCCGGGGCCAGGGAGCTGGGGTGCGTGCTGAAACCTCAGTGGCCACACAGGAAGGGCTGGGGGTGCTGGGGGCTCTCCCCCTCCACTTCCCAGGGCCCCTGGGATGGGCAGCGCCACGGGCCTGACCCTGCGGGCAGACGGGCTGGAACCCAGCACCGTAGTCCCATCTGGGGACACTTACGGGAAGTTCCTGGTCATCTACTCAATTCCGGGATCCAGGCACTTAGCTGAGTCCATCATGCGGGTAGCTCAACAAACTCACAGAAAATGCAGTTTAAAAATAAGTTTATTTTGGTTTAAAAAAATCTAGCTGAGGTCCATGCAAAGGATCTTCAAAAAGTTCATGGGAAATATGTTACAAAAGAAGCTATGCATGGATTTCTTTTCTTTCTTTCTTTCTTTTTTTTTTTTTTTTGCACCAACATGAATTTATTTTTTCATTCATTTTTTCTATGTCCTTTTTTTAAATGTCCCTTTGCTGCTAGGAGGTCATGGCCATGCAGGGAGATCATTCCCAAGCAGAGAGATTTGCATGCCTGGGTAGTGATGAGGCCAGGCTGGGAAAGGGTAGAGGTATATCAGGGAAGGCTGCCTGGAGGAGGCAACCAGGTGCTGGAATTGGGCTGAGATTGAATTAGGCAGGTGCCAGGAGGTCAGCCTCTTTCCAGGTGCAGTGAGTGGCTGATGCCAAGATAAAGTACAGTGTACAGGGCGGGGTGACGCTCCCGGCGGAGCTGGGACTTGAGCGGGAGGGCTGAGACCCTCGGCGGGGCTCCGGCCAGGCCCTCGGCGGCCTCCTCTGTGCACTGAGTGCCGGTTCTGCCTCCCAGTCCCCTGCCTGTGCCCTCATCGCCTGTCAGAACTCAAAAGCTTTTAAATAAAGTTTCTCTGGGAGCTGCCGGGCACCAGGACACACTGGAGAGCATAGAGCTTTCATGTTGTTTTCTTCTCTATAATTTGTTTTCCTGATTTTTCTAAACAGTGCCCAGCAGCTGTAGTAGTAACAATAATAATAAGAGGCATCCTGGCCTCCTGGGGGTTTGCTTAGGGCTGTCACAGATTGGTTTTCTGTGGCCGAGTTGTCAAAGGCAGAGGGACGGGCTCTCGGTGGAAGGGGAGGCAGCACTCAGCATACCAGGGCCTCCGAGGCCAGGCATTAGGGGCATGCTGTTTTCCTAGGCCAGGCTTAGAGAGGGGACGCTACTGCCAAAGGCAGAGAGGGAGGGGGGCAGGCGTGAGTGGAGATCCTTAGTGAGTACCACCTGTGCTGGCTGCTGGGCTGACGCGTTCTGTGTGTGGACTTGTTTGGTCCTCACCCCTGCCCTAGGAGGAGACAGAATGTTATGTCAATTTTAATTCTTTTTAAAAAAGAATTATTTATTAGAGCGAGAGATCTTCCACCCGCTAGCTCACTCCCCAAATGCCCACAACAACTGGGACTGGGCCAGGCTGAAAGTAGGAACTTGGAACTCAGTGTGGGTCCCCCACATGGGTGTCAGGGACCCAAGGACCCAGGGTGGGCGGAAACAGGAAGCCCCGTGGGGGATGTGGGTGTCCCAGGAGGTGTCTCTACCGCTGCACCCCACGCCTGTGTTAAAGGGGCAGAAAGCAAACCCATGTGTGAAGGCGGGAGCGCTGTGCCGAGTCCCGGCGCACGGCAGTCGGGCTGGCGAGTGTGCCCAGCTCTGTCTGTCTGGCTCCAGGTCCAAGCTTGGCTCCCTCTGCACTGTTAAGAGTCTCCCGGGTGCTCTCAGCACAGCTGCTCCAAGATGGAGAGAACATTTCGGATGTTATTTTTTTTTTTCACTAAATTACTTGGCAATCTTTGGCTGACCTTGAGGCTTTCAATGCGTCAGACAAACCCTGGGCATCTTGTGATTCAACTTTTTTTTTTCTTCCACTGATTTTTTTTTCTCAAGTTGGAGTAAAGCAGTGAAGTGGATGAAGTCCACTATTTTTTTTCCCCAAAGATTTGTTGATTTATTTGGAAGGCAGAGTTAGAGAGAAGGAGAGTCAGAGAGAGATCTTCCCACCCAAATGGGGGTGCCCCAAATGGCTGCAATGGCCAGGGCTGAGCCAGGAGCCAGGAGCCAGGAGTTTCATCCGGGTTTCCCACGTGGGTGCAGGGGCCCAAGCACTTGAGCCATCTTCTGCTGCTTTCCCAGGTGCATTAGCAGCGAGCTGGATCAGAAGTGGAGCAGCCACTGGGACTCCATCGGGTGCCCATATGGGAAGCTGGCATTGCAGGTGGTGGTTATACCGGCTACGCCACAGTGCCGGCCCCAAAGTCTACTAATTTTAAGCCCACAACTCAATGAAGTCTACATTCGTAAACCCACTGGCAGCCACAGCCCCAGATAGAGTTACAGACCATTCCTCCCTCCCCAAAGGCAGCTGGGAGACCAGGAGACCCCTCCTGGAAGCCCTGGTCATAGATGTGTCCCAGCCCTGCACCCCCCAGCCATCTTCTACACGTGGAGCCACACAGTAGAAGATTACTGTGATTTGAGACCCCCCAAAGCTCACGTGCTAGACACTTGACTCTGGATTCATTGGTCAAAGGGGTCTGGAGGTGGGGCTTTGGGGAGAGAATGAGAGTTAGAGGAGACTATGAGGGCAAAACCCCCACCCCCATAGCATCAGTGACTTCATAGGAAGAGGAGGAGCCCCCTAAGAAGCCGGCACCATGCTCTTGCACTTTCTGGTCTCCATGGCCATAAGCCAGATAGACTTCTGTCCTCTGGAAGTGACCCCATCTTGGGTGTTTTGTTACATCTGTGCACTAAGGCAGTGATCTTCCATTCGATGTTGGCTCTGTGGGATTCATATACTTGGCGGGTTGGGTCAACGGCTTTGGCTTTTTCTTTGCATTGTAGTACTCCATGACCATGCTCCGAGTATCCTGCCTTTCATCTGTCCACAAGGAGTGGCTTGTTGCCAGGGCATCACGTGTTTGTAGCATCGGTTCTGCAGACATTTAAAACACACCGTCGCTGTTTCCTGATCTTAATCATTTCGGATCAACAATTTTGACCAGCGTCTTTTGTTCCAAAATGGTGGAGAGAGAGAGCAAGAGAGCAAGAGCGAGCGAGTCACTTCTGCAGAAGTTTTCTTGTTCTTCTCTCCGTGTGAGCAAAGAGGCAGAGGATGGATCCCGTCTGTGATGTAAAGTCAAATGCTCAGAGCCGATAGTAGGAGCCGTAATAAATGTGTTGCCACTGTCCTTTCAATGTCCTTTCTCTGCTACTTTGAAATCTCATAAATAACCAAGAGCATGTGGGTAAGATGCCTTCCCTCGACTGCTCCAGTGGAGCAGCTGTGGTTGCTAGGTTGAGCTCCTGGTTGCTAGGGATTTGGCGGTCCTGTGGCGGCCGGAAATATGATACAGCAGTCGAACACGCTTTTGCTATTAATTGAAATGTTTCCACAGCAGATCTCTCAATGCCACCACATGCGTTGGCATTGTCCCCACCGCTCAGTGCACCTCACCTGTTTCCCAGACAGAGGAGGTGACCAGAGGGCAGTAGACAAGGAGTGTGGGGTGGGAGGCGGGAGCACCTGCGCTGGTCTTGCATCTCATATGACTTTGCTGTGTGACCTTGGGCGAGTGCCACGTCACCATCTGCTCCCTGGGCACCAGGCTCTAGAAACTTCAAGAACCTGTCCGCTTCACTGCCTGAGATTCATCACTCAAGTTCTCCAAGCAGGACCCAAGAGCGAAATCAGAGTTCTCCTTATCTGCTGGTGGATGATTGACAGAAGCATGCCCATCCCCGCTCACGTCCTCTCTACCCAGCAGGCTTCTGGGCTTAGTCCCTGGCCAGATGGTGTGTGCCCAGGAGTTTCAGGCTCATTTTAATATTCAATCAAACATAATTGGGATCATAAATCTGAAAAAACAGAACCAAGCAACTGAAACTCCTGTGACCTGTAGACATCTGAGTGTGTGACGTTCTCTTTTCTCTGGCTTAAAAACCTCCAGCAGTTTCCCAAGGCAGCACTAGGGATGGCAGAAAGTCTCCTGTCAGTTGTGGCAGCTGCAAGAGGAGATATCCTGAAAGGAACCTGGGCTCCCTGGCTTGCTGTGAGATCGGGATCGATTAATGATGTCTGCCATGGCCCAAGAAGGCAGAAGGGGACTCGTAGCGGTATCTGCCAATCAGGGCTGGAGTTTTAAAGCCCACACCTGTTTTAATATTGTGTTTGTGACCTTCAAGATTGCCCTGTTCCAGCTCCTTATGATCTGATTTCTCCCACCTGCAACAATAATTGTGGCTGTGTCCACAGTCTGTCGGCCACCTGTCGTCACCCCAAATCTCTTTTGTTTGTGTGTTCCCAGTGCCCAGGAAGTCCTTTATGACATCCGATTGGTTGGCTTCATCTCTTTATTCTTCTATCTTCGATTACAACTCTGTTTCATCTTGTACGGTAGCCCATTGGGTTTTCTTGGATGGGCTTTGTTAGCCCTTCCTTCCTCTGTATCCCACAGTTCTCCACTTGGATCCGTGGCCCAGCACATAGCCTGCTGCACGCTTAGTTGCTTTTATGTCTCTTTGCATTTGTACCTTAAGAGGAGCTCAAAGTCAAGGTCTGGGTTTGGCTCATCCTTGCATCCCCAGACCAGAGCTGAGCACGGAGCATGGAACATGGAGCACGGAGCACGGAGCAGAGCCTCCATAAATCTGTCCTGAATGAACGCAGGAATGAATAAAAATCACGCTGCATCCCAAAGCCAGACAGAGAGGATGTTTATAACTTTCCCAGCAGTCCGAGCCCGCACGTCAACACTCCTTAGCTTAATTGTGGATAATTTACTGTGGTTGTAAACTGACCACACATTCTCCCGAGGCCGACCGCGGCTGGGGGTTGTGAGCGTGCATTGTCTGCCCTGTGACCATCTCTCTTTCTTCCTCCCTCCCTTTGCCCCCAGCCTGAGGAGAAGCAGAAGGCGGCGGCCGCCTTTGCCCAGCTCCAGGGCGCCATGGAGACCCTGGGCATCTCGGCCAGTGAGCAGCAGGCCATTTGGCGGGTGCTGGCGGCCATCTATCACCTTGGTGCTGCGGGCGCCTGCAAAGGTACGTCCCTCACGTGGGTGGCCAGCCGTCTCCTTGGGCAGGTGCCTGCTCTCCATGAGATGGGGACAGGGGCCATCTGTCACCTCCTGTGTCTCTGGGGCCAGTCCTTGGGACACTGCCGGCCCGAGCGTGGTGAGAGGGAAAGAGGGCTGGGGTTTTTCAAGCAAAATTTCTAGACTGGCACCGTCCAAAAGAACTTTGTGCCCCAGCACAGAGGCTTTCTGTCTGCGCTGTCCAGGACAGGAGCCACCAGCCCCACCTGGCTGTGGAGTGCCTGACATTGCACCTGACTGTAATCTGGTGACTGGGTGGAAGCCGGGGAGATGCTGTGTTTCTGTGTCCATGCCCTGGAGCTGTTCCCCACCAGGAGTGCTGAACTGGGCCCCGCTGCCCGGCTCCCGCTCCTTAACTGTTGAGTGATCGTCCCTGCTTCCACCTGATCTCCCAGTGTTTCCCTCTTACTCTCACCTCCTCGCTGCACTATGCAGCCGTCCACTGTGCCCTGTGCTTAGGTCTTGTGACGTCATTTCTCCCTGGCTGCTCTATCATCTTTACTGTCATCACCTTCATCTAGATACTGTTTTTTTTTTTTTCTTTCTGGATGTTGCCATAGTCCTTTTGCCTTCACCCTCCCTCCTCATTCTCTCCATCTTCATCATCTGTTATATAGACAACCCCCCACCTCCACCTCCTCTGGGCTTAGAATCACCCCAAGGCTCTCCCCCACCTGCTAAATCAAGTAAAATTCCTCCATTTGGTATTCAGGGCTCCTCCCTTCCCTAAGCAATCTTTTCTGCTCGCTCTCTTGTTACTGCACACGGCTCTGGGGGAGAGAATAGGGATCACGGCCATGGCTCCTGGCCCACAGGGCTTCCGGTGATGTGGGTCGTGGTTGCGTCCTGGTCTAGCTCTTTTCGGGAGGGAGTAGAATCAGTTGAACTAGAACTCACCTGTAGGGTGAACACGTGTGTGGATTGATGTCTGTCCTGGGATTCTGGCTGATGCTCTGGGCTCTGCCCCTGCGCACAGCAGATGCCTTGACAAGACGCTGGCCAGTCCTTGCCACCATTCCCACATCTGGGGGCTGTGGCCACACATCCTAACCCATTGCTTTCATGGTGGAAGTTTCCAGAAGCCATGCTGAGTCAGATGTCAGTACGCTGGGGAATTCTACCATTTAAGCTGAGGACTGATATGCTCAGCTGGAAAAATAGGAGAAAATCAAAAGAAAAGAAAATGCAAGAATGGCATTCGACTTTTGAACGTTAGCCGTGTTGGGTGCTGTGGCTGGTGGCATCCGTACCACTTTGCTCAAGAGGCCATCATGCATCCTGGTCCCCAAGACGGTGCGTGTAAGAGTGTGGCCCCGCCTCGAAGCCGGGTGCCTTCCTCTCTCCCTGTGGATCCCCAGTCACCCCTGGGAGCACCCCCATCTCTGCATCTGACCTCATCTGCACCAGGGATGAGGAGACTCGGGCATGTGAGCCAAGCCCAGCTTGCTTTTGTGCACCCAGCACAAATAAGAATGATCTTTTCAGTTGGATGAAAGAGCTTGCAACTCAGAACAAATATCTCAGGACACACACAAATTGCACGGTATTCAAATTATAGTGTCCGTAATGAAAGCTTTGCTGGAGCACATGTACTTCTATTCATTGACCTGTCTGTGGCTGGCTTCAATCTGCAGTGACAGAGTTGAGTGGTTGGGACAGAGATGTCTTTGTATGCCCTGCAAAGCTTGAATAATTACCAGGCGCCTCTCTGCAGAAAACAATTGCTGACCCCTGTTCTGTGCCCTCACCGTGGAGGGTAGAAGCACTCAGGGGTCTCCGTGCCTCTGAACCAACTGGTGGTACTCTGAGAAAACCCCTCCATCCTCCCCAGAGCCCCTCCAGACCAGGGAGAGGGGCTCAGAAACCCAGGGTTACTGTTAGCTGCCTTCCATGACACAGCAGAACTCCCAGTTTCACCTGACAAATGTGCACAGTCATGACGTGTCAATTTTCAAAGAAAGGAAGAAATATAACTGTGACCTCAGTTTGCTGGGTGACCTTGAGTGAGTCAGCTCTCTCTCTCTCTCTCTCTGGTCGCGCTTTTCTTGTAAGTGAAAGTCCTGAGTTGGACCAGTGTCTTGGTCCGTTTCCTGTTCCTTTCTGAGACCGGGAAGGTGTAAGGAAGAGGGTTCATGTAGATCGTGGTCCTGGAAGCTTGGCACTGGCGCTTGGCGTCACATCATGACGTGGCAGAGGGCGTGTTCCAGGGTGAGACGGACAGAGGATGTGGCGCACCAGAGAGCTCACTTTGATAACAAGACCACTCCTGGGATAACCTGTTAATCCATCAGTTCACGAGTAAATGAATTCACTCATAAGAGCTCTGACCTCATGACCCAGTCACTTCCCAAAGTTCCCAGCCCCCGACTCTGCTGCAATGGGCGCCGAGTTTCCAGCCCTTAAACTTTTGGGGGGCAGAGTCACACTGATCAGAATTTCCCAACGGAGGGATCGTGTATTGCCACCCCCACCCACCAAACCAAGGATTTTACATGTGGATTTCAGGGATGGATTAGTTTGCTCTGGTTGCCCTCATACATTGCTACAAACCTGAAGTCTTAAAACAAGTCATTTATTCTCTCAGAGTTCTGGGAACCAGAACCCGGAAATCGAGGTGCTGTCAGGGCCAGGCTCCCCTGGGAGGCTCTGGGGAAAATCCTGCCCTGCACCACCCTGCATTCCTCACCTTGCACCCAGATCACCCCAGTCTCTCCTTCTGTCTTCTCCTGTCTCTTCTCTCTAAGACACTGGTCATTCAAATGAAGGTCCGCCCCGTAATCCAGGCAATCCCATTTTGAGACCCTTCACTGAACTACGTCTGCAAAGACCCCTTTTCCAAATACAGTCATGCTCACAAGCACCAAGGTGTGGGGCTTGGACATTTCTTTTTTGGGAGGGTCACTGTTGATACTTCCTGATGGAGCGTGTTGGGCTGTATGTGGACATTTGTTTCGGTGCAGAGAGACAGAGCCCATGACTTTCACCAAGTGGGAAAACTTGGCATCTGGAAGTTTAAGAACTACCAGAATTGAGCTCATTGTATCTGGGGGGCATTCTAGACATAACTTCCTGGAATTTTGATTTCTTTTTTCACTTCCTTATGATGTTTTAAGTCTAGCAAGGACCTCAGAGAAACGTCACACATGACGTAAGATGTAATAATTATAGCGATGATACAGCCACAGCAGTAGCAGCCAACATTTCACTTAGCAGTGACTGGGTGCCAGGCTCTGTTGGAGACATCTGATGTGTATTCACTCATGAAATCCTCACAATGAAGCCAAGAAGTGGGGGCTATTGCTATCCCATTTTATAGAAGAGAAACTTGAGGCACAGGGAAGCTGGGTAACTTGCCCAAGATTGCACAGCTAGGAAGTGGCAGAGCTGGGATCTGACAGCTGCCAGTGTGGCTCCAGAATATGAGCCCTTCATGCTGCACAGTGAGAGATGTCATTCGAGTTTTCTATGATCACTTATTTGAAAAACAGAGACTGAGACAGAGACACAGAGACAGAGAAAGGTCTTCTGTCGGCTCATTTACCCCCCCCCCAAATGCCTGCAAAAGCCAGGGCGGAGCCAGACTGAAGCCAGCAGTTGAGAAATCAACCCAGGTCCCCTGTGTGGGAGGCAGGGACCCAACTGCTTGAGCCAGCGGCTGCTGCCTCCCAGGGTGTGCACTGGCAGGAAGCTGGATCTGAGGCAGAGCCAGGACCAGGCACTCTGGTGTAGGATACGAGCTTCCCAAGCAGCGTCTTCGCTGCTGTGCCCAATGTCTCCCCCCATGACTGGTTCGTGCCCCATGGGGCACCTCGTCTGAGCCCAGAGCCCTTCCCCACAACCCAGAGCTGAGGCTATCTCATGAGGCTGTGGACTTGCCAGGCTGGAAGGTTCTTCCTAAACCCCCATCCACTGAGAATCTTGATTTCCCCATGGGGGAGAGTGCACCGGGACTTGTCCTGCAGGTCCTATGGCTGTTGCTGGGAGTCTACACAAGGACTGTGAAACTACCAGGCAGACAGCCTCTGATTGGTCCAACTTGGATCACATGACCAATCCCTTAGCTGTGATAGGACGAAGCTCCTTGACTGGCGCTACATGCTGGGGGCGGGGGAAGGCTGTTGCCGAGAGATGGCTCAGGGCGCCATCTTGCACAGCTCCCACATGCTTTGAAGGCGTCTCTGAGTGAGAATCTAGGAGAGCAGAGTTCTGATTTCTGTCATGGCTTCCTGAACGTGGAGAGATGACGTCTCTTACCTCACGCTGGGGACTTTGGACAGCCTTGTTCTCTGAGGGCAGCTGGAGACGTGTGGCTGTGGTTCAGACCAGGAAAGCCACGAGGGTTCAGCGTTGGGGGCAGGGGCGTCTGGAGGAGGAATCAAACCCATTTTACAGAGAGGGAAACCGAGGCTCTCAAGGTCGAAGTGCCTCCAGCTAAAGGCTGTGCTCTCCTGAGTGAGGCTGAATTGAGTTCAACACCAAACTTCTCTGGCCTTTAGTGTCTCCCTCTCCCCGCAGGCTAGCAGTGGGGGTGGAGTGAGGATTGATGGAGCAAGCTCGAGGAAGTGCATTTAGGCTGGGTTCCCCTGAGAGCAGGATTTGGGAGCCTGCGACTGACTTACAGCCTCTGCAGGTGTCCGGGCGCGTCTTCTAGGCAGTTTGGTTGAAGTTTCTCCTGGACGGCGTTGGCTTCCTGCCCCTGGAGCCTGCCCTGGGTCAGCCCCGAGCAGAGCAGAGACAGCAGCCACCTTGTAGTGAGAGTCCAGGGACACCCAGGGGGCGGGGTGGTGGCGAGGGGTCCGTGGCCGGGCCTCAGTGACACCGGAGCCGGCAGCCCCTCAGTAGGCAGCTGCTGTGATGGTCAGTGCTGCTGAGCTGGCCTGAGCGGCTTCCCAGGCGCTCCCTGCAGTGGCTGCCGCTGGGACAGCGTCCACAGGGACAACAGCCTTC